CCGCTCGCCCGCCCCGCGGCCCCCGGCCTGGCAGCTGGAGGTGGAGGTGGCATCCCCGCCGCGCCCGTGGGCGCGTCCTGACGGGGAACGGGCACGGAGGACTCCAGGAGTGACCCCGAACGCGTTTTATTTTGTATGAATCGTTACGAAGTCCCAGTTCTCACCCGGGGACTTACGCGACCCCACCTGAACGCTGAGTCCAAAGGAAAGAGCTCTCTCCTGGTGTAGCTGGGCAGTATTTGGGTCTACTGGAAATTTCGATAGATTTAAGTTTCCTCCCCTTCACACCTGGGAGAAGAGACGTTTTAATGTGCATCCATGTAAGCGTGTGATGGGCTGCCTGTGCTAGCCTTGATGGCTGTCTCTGCGGGCAGGCGGGGGGAATCCCCCCGGCCAGACTATCCCAGCTTCGCAGAAGAAGGGCAGCGTCTGGTGATACCCTGAGATGACTCCCTGTGGTTGAACAGGGTCTAGGGTGTCATAAGAAACAATTATCTTAATTACTCAATCAATAGTTTCAAGGTGGAAGTCTAAGCCCTTGTTTTTAACATGGTTAAGTGAAATACATTTACAAAATGTATGGCTTAATAAGCCATTACGTGCTGACCTAGAGTTTCCCAGCAAACTTCCTGGGACAGTCTGAGGACCTTTAGCATGCACAAGAGCTCCCCAAACTGGAGCCAAACTGAGCTATGAATATAACACACCTCTACAGAGCACCACAGGGACATGCTGGTTTGAGTCTAGCAGAGTTGTAACCATGCTTTGCAGCACAGCACCTAAATTAATCATCTTTGGTTTTGCAAAGTTTATTAGCTCTGGTGCAGACGGGTGAAATATGGTGATGGTGTCAGCAAAACAACTCGGTTTTCCCAGCCTTAGGCATCCTTGACTTTGCAGTCCTGGGGTTAAACTGAGAGATCAGTTTCAATGTCTTAGTCTCATTTTTTATTTCTGTATTTATTTTTTAATATAAACAGTGCTCTGTATGTTAGGAGAAAAGGAGCATTGCATTTGTTTTTGTGCATTTAATTGCCTATCCACTTTATCTTTACAACGTCTACATTATAAGAACTTCTATGGAAGGTGGCCTGAGCCAAGAACAGGCTGTCTTATAAGAAGAGTTTAACTTCTCTGCTTTAACTTTTCTGAAACACAGATTACTGCTACAGAAGAGCAATAATTTTAAATAGTATTTAAAACAGATAAATTAAAATCTTAAAGAATCTGAAAATCTGGGAGCAAACTTCAATCTTCTTGTACAACATAAGCATGCCCATAGGATAATACCACGTATATGGACAGATACATGTCTGCAGTCTGTTCCCAACTCCTGTTTTTGTTATGTGCCCCCTCAGATCTGTCAACTCTGCGTGTTCACACCTCTGTTTCTGTCAAAATGTGTCAATTTTTCCAGCTTCCTTCAATTTGACTGAAGCACATGAAGTGTCAATCTTGCAAGCAACTCAGCTGGAAGATCTGCAGAGAAGAAGGGAGGTGGTAACATCTGCAAGAGCCTGCTGAAGCAGCGGAGAGGGTGAGCTGCCAAAGACCGCTGCTTCCCCTGGCACAGCTCTCACTGACCTGCTGGTCAAGGCTTCACTGCCGCGCGGTACCCAAAACAACACCACCAAGAAACAATGTGGTTAACACTTCTGCAGATCTGCCTCTCTGCAGGCCAACTCCTATAGCAGACCATGGACATCAAAGTGTTTTCAATTAATGAATAAAATATTTAATCTGAGATACACTTATTTGCTTCTTGGTTGAAGATCTTTATCTAGCTTATGCTTCATGTTTTTAAATCTGCAAAAAACTGTGAAAACACTATCAAACTCTTTTTTTCTGAAAAAAAAAAAAAAATGAAGTCACAAAAAACTTATAGCTAACAATCCAGGTCAATGGACAGACGTAAAGAATGTGCAATCCATAATATAATTACAGAAGGGAGTGGCTATACTTCATGTGTGTATACTTCATTGATGATCTATAGTACTTTGCATACTCAACTACTTTCAAAGAACTTTGAGACAATGCCAGGAAGAAAGAAACTACATAAAAGTAATTTATCAACATTGATATATTTTTCTTTATTTTGTATGACATGCAAAGCTCAAATGGGAAAGCAAATAAAGCCTTGATATACAATCTTACCATCTGACATAAAGAGGAAAAAGATGCTAGTTGACCATTCAAACCAGCACCTCTGACTGATCTAGAGCAATGCCCGGATCACCAGCTAATGCAAATCAGCACAGCTCTGCTTATTTCAGTGGAGCTATGCCACCTATGCTTAAGCACAGGTCAGCCCTTTTTTGTATGAAGCAACAATATGCATGTGCCAACAGTCAAAGCAATTTTGTGGCAGTTCGCATTTCTTCAGAAGAGAAATAAGGATGTTATGAAACCCTGCTATACCTTTCTCGGTTATTGTACTAATTTTTTCCATTAGAGGTATAGAAAATGCAAAAGAGAAGTTATGTTAAAATTCTGTTATTTATGCAATGAATGAAAGATTTGATGAAACTGATTGTTAAGCAAGTACTGACTTTAATTTTTGGTTTTCAATAAAAATGGAAGCACTGAATATCAGACAACTTTATACTTTTATATATATAAATAAAATAGTCATTGGAAACCTCATTTTTGTGCCTTAATAAAACTCATCTTGCCTCTGTGTTGGCCATGAATGACTTAATTAAACAAAATTTGTGTGACTTCTTGGCTTCGTCATAAATTCTTTAATGTTGATTTTTTTTCTCATACATATATACATAGAGTTCCTTATATGTGTTATTATGTAGTATTTAATTATATTATCGTAAATACTGAAGATGATGATAACAGGTTTCACCACAGTGAGAAAAATCGTTGACTGTGCAGCTAGTCCAGGTGCAGACGTGAAGCAAGATTTTTTTTTTTTTTTAGGAAAGCTGCCTACGGCATTTTGGAGTGCTGTCATCGTTGCTCAGCTTCTCTGTTGTGCATTACTGTTTTCTGCCTGCAGTCGCTGCTACCCGACAGGGTCCAAACAATACGGTCAATACGGCAGCTGCAGAAAGGCTCATTACCTGTCCTGGCACGCAGCCACGCAAAAATTACCCAGCTAGATTTGAGAGTGGAGCTCTGACCATGGGAACTTCACCTGCCCCAAATGCTGGTGATTTAGTGTGGACTTGCAGGAGCAACATGTAAAGGAATTAACTTCAACTGAGACAAAAAATGGTGCCTCTAGATTGCAGTTCAATATGATTAGATTGCTGTACTTGTTGTGAAGAGATTACTCCTATACATGTTGCCTTAAAAATGCCCAGATAGTGCCACCTTAACTACTACTTTACAGTGAATGAAAGACAAGCAAGGCTAGACATATCAAATCTATTTTAACTACAGTGCATTTTCTACCACTCTTATCAGTGATAATATCGTATATTGATGATTTTCTTTGAAATAGAATTAATCTCAATGGAATCACCTTTGTCTGAGTAAATATTTTAGCATCATTATTCTGTGCAACCAGCCTAGATTTCCCATGTTATTTTAGCTTGGAATAAAACTCTGCTAAACAGAAATCCTAACTGACTCTTCAGAGCTACTGGCACTCCTGCAGGGTCACCACATCTATTCTTTATCCCACAGATATTATTGAATGAAGTTCTGGTTTTGTTTTTTTTCAGAGGGTTTTCTGGTGAGCCTGCCCCTCTGTTCCTTGCAGGTTCCGGGTTGGGAGGAGAAAAGGCATCTCAAGCCACCTCAACCTGGGTGGCACAAGGAGAGCCTAATGACATGTTCTGCTCAGGACATACAAATAACTCTGCTGGGCACGGCCAGCCACAGCGCTCATCATGCCTGAGGATATTTCAGAAGTGCTAATCCCACCTCAGAGCAGTCATGCAAAAACTAGGGTCTGGACCTGGAAGACGCTGGTAAAAGGCTTTGACAGAGTCTTTTAGCATGCTGTGTGGTGTTATACTGTGTGCCTGTCAGCGCTCACGTCCACAGGAGGCTTGCAGCCTGTCCAGTGCTTTCCAATTCCAGCCTCATCTGCATATGGGAATCTAACACACCAACACACATCTTAAATTGCTTCTACTTCTTCCCTCTCCATCAAGCACCCATTTAACTCTAAAGTAAAAATACAGTACCACCTACTGGTGGAGATACTGTTTGCGCTGATGGTTTTCCAGTCACCAAGCCTCGTTGGGGCCAATTGTGCTTCATGACACTGAATTCCTCGTAACACTGGTCTGCACAGAAGAGTATTAAATAAGCCAGAAGCCCTGGAGCCTTCTCAGCTACAGCACTTCCGACATGACATTCATTGCTGAAATAGCATCAGCATTAGAAAAGATGGAACAGTATTTGCAGAAAATAAGCCTGCCAAAACTGTGGTCCCAATCCAACCACCCATCTGTGTACACAGCTACAACACAGTAAGCTGAAAGGCAATGTTGTACCATTAAACCCTACTTATTTATAAATAAATACATAAGTGTAATGTATCTAGTGTTTTGGTTATGAGTGTCTGAAACTAGAGGCAGCTTTAATAGGATTGAGAAGAATTACAGATGATGACAAAGCAAGATACAAAAATAGATTAAAGTTGGCCTGCTAAAACAATAATCCATTAGTGCGGTCATTCTCACATCAGTCAAGGTTACTTCACTGGAATGTGGAACGACAGGGAAAATATCTGTGAAAAAATATTGATGCTAAACTAATGTAATTGTCAGTGAAGTCAATGACAACTATGTAATTGGCTTTTAAAGGAGGGCAGAATTGAGACCACTGTGTTGAGCTCACCCAGAACTTGTCCTGCAGACCTCTTTGCAGGTAAGTGAGCTCCAGGCCTGTGTCAGACAAGGAACTAGTCTGGCCCAATAGGACTCATCTTTCTCTGTTTGAGAACTTTGAAAAACACCACAGTAAAACAGATAAGAAAAAAATGTTAGAGTTGCATTACAGGACTGCTTATTTTAAAAGAAAATTCACTGTTCTCCACCAAAGTAAAAAGGTGTATCTCCTTTGTAGTTCGTATTGACTTGAGAGACACAACATAGATTTGCCTGGCTTGGTTGGTCATCTAAAACTTTTGGACAAAGGTATGCACCAAATACAGGAGGAGTTCACAATTAGTTTGATGTTTGTGTGACACACAACAAGGCATATGTCCCAGACACTCAGTGCCACCACATATTCACAAAATCACTGCTCAGCATTGAACATTGAGATCTTTCAGACTGCAAATGAGGAAAAAACCCATGAGAATGACAGAGGTAAAACTGATCCTGATTCAATACTAGCTGGATGTAGCTACCTTCCAAGATTCCTTTCATATCTATGATTTTAGGATAGGAATTGTATTTCAGCCCTTCGAAGACAACAGTGAAACATACGCCAGAACTTAGAAGATTATTCACTTCTTTGTCCATTTGTTATGTTGGATACCTTACTGTAGATTTGTGTATCTGGCTTCCACTGGGCATAATGTTATGCATTTCCTTGTTGCCCATTACTGTTTTATTTAAAACATCTTTTATTCTTTACATTTCAAATGTGTATTCTCTTTCCTAGAAAATGGACTGTCTTAAGGGTTGGAAAGTCATAGCAGCAGATGAGTCTAATTTGTTTCTCTGGTTGGGAGGCTGACCTGTGATACTCAGCATCATTTTGGGTTTGTGATTAAATGTACAACGTGCCAATCCACTTATGAATGACCACTCAGTCAGCTGGGCTGCAAGATTTAAGCTGGTTCATATGAATGCTAATGGCATTGCTTTCTCCTGCTCTTGGTTACAGAAACGAGGTCTTAATCCTGGGGTCCCAGGGGCTGGACTGCTTTCCTGGATGCTGCTTGTTGTGAAGTAAAGTTAAAAAGTAACTCAGTAACTTCAGCTATGTCTCAGTTGTGACAAAGATACCATTTCAAATTTGAACATTCACTCCTTTCGCTGCCTAAAAGATTTTCTTCACTGGATTTCATGCTCAGCAATGCCTTTTTTGTTTCCGAAATGGGCCATGTAAAACATGCCAGATTAGAAAATCAATCACTCAAGCTCCCGAGAACTTAATTTTCCTCATTCTCATGGTATCCAGCAGTGAAACGAGAAGGTTGAGGTATGCAAACACCTCAACCTCGTCTCTTTCAAAGTACACTAGGATCCTCTTGGGAGCTTTCTTGATTGTGTGGCCCCTACAGATGAAGCCTCGCACATTTCCAATGGAGGAGGACCACAGCTACTTTACAAACCATTTTGCAAAGTCATAATCCATACCAAACTTGAAGATTAGTTCAGTGTCTTAAAACTTCATCATCATGGCATTTTCCACTAAATATATATTCACAATTTGTGGGCTTTTTTAAGCATCAAAATAGGAATGTAAAAGTTATGTTAGATTAGTTAGGAACTTCCAGTAGTTTAAAATGGTATTTCCTATTATTCAGCAATATGATAAACACATTAAAATAAACAGGAAATTTCCATTTATGGTGTTTTATCTATTCTAGTAAAGACCTGTTATTATAGTAAAAAAGCATCTGCAATATTAAGAAAACAGGCCAGCAGACAATACTGAATATATAGCCATTTACAATAATATTTTTTTTAGTTTCTAGCGTAGACTCCAATATTTGTCCCTTCTTGTGCATGTTGATAGGGCTAGTAAGCTTCTGTTCAGGTGAGGGATAATAGTGACTGCCACTGTCACTTTCATCTCTCTAAATCTCAAAATCCATCACTAGGTCGAGGAAATCCTCCTCTAATATCCATGTCCTTCCCTGGGAATAATTCAAAGAACTGCACATGGGACTGGCTGGTTGAGAAATCGATCAATAAGGGATTTATATATGAAATGTTGATTATATTTAGCTTTTCATGGTGGCTCTGCTTATGTAGTAAGGAAACGTGGCTGATTTAAAGGACTGAAATCGCTATTAGAAGCAGCAGATTACATTGCCAAGGTAAGCATGCACACTGATGAAACTGCTTATTGCAGAACTGCTAAGGACTCTTTGCATGTTAGAAAAGAGAGATTTTGCTCTAACACACTGCAGATTTTAATGTTAATGAAGATTTTTTGCTGCTTTTTGTAAAGAAAAAAAGTAGATCTTTATATGACACCGAATTCTGTTCCAGGATATCCTTACTGGAAGCATTTTCTTTCTGAAAATAATGACTAGAGAAGTGAATCAGATGGGCCAGTAAGAAAGTGAGAAATAGATAAGTAAAAGAGCAGAAGAAATGGAAGCTGATCTTCCATTCACTACAATCCTGTAAAAGGATAATACTGCCTTCATTTTCTTGCAGCAGCATAGTAATTAATATAATTAGGTTTTAGGTCGTAATGTTTGAAAACTCAGCTGTTTATCATAGTAGTCACATTTAAAAATCAAAGATAGTAAAAGCAAACTATTTGTATATTTATCTGTATTACCTTTCAAACTTACTATCTAAATATGATAACGTGAAAAGGAGCATTGGACTATTAAAATAAAAGCAGTGTAACAATTTGTGACAATGTGTCAGTTTAAGAAAAATATGTGTGACCGTAAAATAGGACACATGGTAGTGATACAATTTAGTAAAAACCACCTGAAATATTGCTTGAAAAACCTCTATAATACAATTAAAAAATGCATTAAGGTGAGTTCTGGACCCACAGAGTTTAACGAGATATTTTCTATCATTCCCAGTGTCAGGGTTTTGTCACAGAAATGCTGTAACAAGGTAACTAGAGTCCCCAAATCAGGAGCAATTACTGTGTCTGTTCAGCTTGCACTGGGCACATGCTGCATTAGCATTTCTGTGTCTTAGACATAAGAATTTCAAAACTCCCCACAATGTGCTTTGAGACTAACGGAATTCGAAGATATTCTTGTGCTACATATCCTGACTGATTGGCAAGGGAAACAACCTGGTGCAGTAGTCACCCAAGCCTGACATTCAGATTTAGTATTTTGAGACTACAGGGTAGTAAATACTTCCAATTTCTATGCCCATTTAATGCTTCCAGTGCCTCAGTAAGATGAAATCTCCAGTCCTGTCTCAAATGGCATCTCCTTTTTCCCAGCAAGTCCTACGCACGGCTGCCACAGCTCCTTTGGCAGAACACAAAGCACCCCACAGTGCTTCCACTTACAATAGACACTAACAGAGCCAGAGGAATCTGTTTATTTGCAAAAATGCTCAGAAAATCCTCTTTACCTGAAGAGCAGGGGAATGTAGAGGATACAGATTTTTCCCCAGCCTCCAGGCTATGTACTCTGGATGGATGTGGATTTTTGTACATGTCCTATTTTACCACACTTCTTGTAATTTTTAACCTCTAGTACATCTGCAAATCAGTAAGTCTGGATAGCACAAAGTCAAAGATGTTTTTTTTGCTCTTCAAACTAAAGAAGACTCAAAGAGCAAAGACAAACATGAAAAATGAGTGCCTATGTAGAAATGCTGGTACTGGGACTCTTAATGTGAACTGACTGGTTTAGAGCCCACTCTGCTGGAGGAATGATTTCCCTTAAGATGAATACATTTGCATTTGTCTGGCGCTGAGTGGTTGGAAGTGGTTGGACACAGCTTTATTTTGCACCATTATTTGTGAGCTCTGTGGACACCAGTGTGGCTCTGTGGAGGATATAGGTTAAATCAGGATGGAATTTTGTGTGCCAGCATTAGCAGAGCTTTCAGAGCACCTACAAGCAGATATAAAGCTGCTTAACTCAACCTGGCGTACTTTCAATCTCCACACTTTCAAACACAATTTATCCTTGGAGTAAGTCAGTAGAAACCCTGTTACAGCTTTTAGGCTGCTGGTGAATCTAACCTAAGGTTTACTATGTCTTAGAGACTTAGAATTTTTTTAATGTGACATCTTAGACCTGATCCTTGCTCTTAAGCATTTAAAGACTGACCAGCAATGCTGGACTACATTTAGATTATTCGTGGAAGAACACATCTTAGTCTTCAAACTTCATCTTTCTGCTTTGTAGAATGTGTTATATTGCTGTATTATTTTTTGCACCATGTGTCATTCATGTCTGATGACTGCTAGAAACATGGGTTTCCTCTCCTATTTCCTGTGTAGGAATATTTTTAGTTTCATTGACTAATAAGGAAAGTCAGGTAAGTCTGGCAGCAATGTGGCAACTGTATCATCCTGCTTCTCTTTTGCAGTGTGCTTGACTACAGAATGGAAGTACTTTCTTTAAGACTGATTCATTCTATGGCATTTGACTTCACTTATCAGTGGTACAGTAACTCATTTGTCAGTTTGTGGCTTACAGACATCTCTATACTCTGATTTCACATGCGCAGGGATATTGTTACTGCATCTGTTTCATAATCCTATCTAAATGGCCCTGCCAAGAGCAGATCACACTTGTAGACATAATTGTTGTCTCTCTCAAGCTGAGAGTTGGCAGTCTCATTGATGATGAGACATAACTCACAAAATTGTAAGAATAGTGGCGAAAAGGGAGAGCAGGAGTTACGTACACTACATTTTCAATTTTTTAAATATTGAGATGAACAAAACAGACATGAACAGCCACTAACACTTCCATTTAGGTATTTATGTCCGACTTGCTATATGAGTAAGGAGAGACTACTACAACAGTCTTTAAGTTCCTAGTTACAGAGCCTACTCTTTGCTCTCAACAGAGTATAACTCTCAGATGTCAGACATATTGAAATTTCTTTGTACATCCAACCAATGGATGTGTCCTAGTCTGGTTTTCAGGATGTCGCCTGCACATGAATCTATTTATCCATCCTGATACAATGAACTATGAGCCTTTGGTTCAAAACCAAATGAAACAGCAGTAGACGTTTCAAACACAACTCTAAATATTTTCAAAGTATGTGATTAGGCTCAGGAGAAAGACCTAAATTAATGCTTCCTCTGAGAGAAAGATGTGTTGAACATTCTCTTCAGCAGCCGTTGCCTGGTCATTCAGCACACTGAAGCACCCACAGTGCCTTCTTGTCTGGTGGGAATGTCATGGGAGAGAGGAAACTGGAAATACTATTGTCGGTTTTGGGGGAAGCAAGGATATAAAGGATTCATCTTTAGGGAAAAAAAAAATGCTTGTTACTTCTGCTAGTTGTGAAATAACTTGATTCTTTTTTAAATCAGTCTTCCTCAATTACCCAAGGTAAGACAAACTTGACCATGAAGGTAGGAGTGATTGAGACCCATCACTCCCATACAATTGTTCCCAGCGTGGTAGTACAAGACACCAGTGAGGAGGACCCTGGACCGATGGACAAAGGGGAAAACAAGTATGTCAAAATTACCTGTTTGGGGTTTTTTCTTTGATAATTTGGATTGGATTAACTAAGCAGAGATACTTGCCATCATGTAATTTTCTTCACCCTCTATTAATAAATTAAGTTTTTAATACTGTGATATATTGCTTATTGTAAATATTTAG